GTTCATCCATAGCTACATCAGGATGTTCGTGTTCATCCATAGCTACATCAGGATGTTAGTGTTTATCCATAGCTACATCAGGATGTTCGTGTTCATCCATAGCTACATCAGGATGTTCGTGTTCGGTCTGGTGTTAAATCACTGAATATTAAAAACGCTGGCGAAGCGTGAACTGTGTTAAAACGGACGTGTGACGCTGACGGTTTTACAACCATTTGTGTTTGTGCTGCAGTGGTGGGAAGGAGCGCGAGGGGGACCTGCAGTACTACCCTTTCCGTATGACCCCTTACCTGATGAAGGTCCAGGATGCTGAGCTGGCTGAGGAGCAGTTCTGCTGCCTCCTGCTGGCTGAGAGGGTTCACTCTGGATATGAAGGTCAGAACTGAACTGGTTTATTTCTTACTGCACGTGCTCCTCTCATACTGAAAGCGTTTAGTTGTTATTGAAATGATCAGGTCTGCCAAAGTAATTAAGAAATAAAGTTGACAGTATGTAACGATCTAAAAACGATTATTACTGATTAGGTGTGTTTGTGTTCACAGATACTGAGTGAAGTTTATTTCAGGTCCGATCAGTCCTCGGCTCAGATATTAGACTCCTTGTTGTTGAGATGTTTCATGCAGCTACAGACAATTAACCACCAGCGCGTTTCAATCGTTGTCATAATTGTTTCATGTATTAATAACACTCCTCTCTGCTCAGCTCCCAGAATTCCCCCTGACAAGCGGATCTTCACCACCACACACACGCCCAACTGTGTGTTCCAGGACGTAGATGAGAGGTGGGCGGAGTCTCTGCTGTTGTTTTTTCCCATGAGTGTATTTACTGTATGTACTGTGCAGTTCAGCATCAAAGTAATCCTTTTTGTTTGTTTCTGTAATAGGGCTGTACCTCTGCTGGGGTACCTCCCCCAGGACTTGATCGGGACCTCCATACTACTAAATCTGCACCCGAGCGACCGACCATTAATGCTGGCTGTTCATCGCAAAAGTAATTCTTTTTGATTCACGTTTTGTGTTGTCGAGTTATTTCCCGTTGCTCTAAATATTTTCAATATTTTAAACGGTTTGTTAAATATTGTATCCATCCGCCCTGTCGCTCACATGCACTACTTTCCTTTTCAGTCCTGCAGTATGCCGGTCAGCCCTTTGACCATACCTCCATCCGCTTTTGTGCAAGAAATGGCGAGTACATCACCATCGACACCAGCTGGTCCAGCTTCGTCAACCCCTGGAGCCGCAAGGTCTCTTTTGTCATCGGCAGACACAAAGTGCGCATGTAAGTGTTTTCATCTTGCTGTTTTCAGTTCTTCTGTTCTGGTCAGTCTCTGTGAAAAGATAGATGACCGTGGTGCCTCTACCTTCCAGGGGTCCTGTCAACGAAGATGTTTTTGCAGCTCCTGCTTTCCACGGAGGGAAGATAATGGACTCTGACATCCAGGAGATCAGCGAACAGATACACAGGCTGTTGCTCCAAGTGTGTAAACGCACACACAGGTTGAGCTCCTACACAAATAGTGGTTTTGTCTAACGGCCTGTTTCTCTTCAGCCGGTTCACAACATGGGCTCCAGTGGTTATGGCAGCTACGGCAGCAATGGTTCCCACGAGCAGCAGGTGAGCATCAGCTCGTCCAGCGAAAGCAACGGGAACATCCCAGCTGGGAACACGGCAGAGGAGACGAGCAAGACCAAGCCATCGAGGACCTTTCAGGAAATTTGTAAAGGCGTCCACATGCTGAAGAACCAGGACTCGCAGGTCTGCCTGCGCTCCTCCTCACCATGGCCTCCTAAAAACGACCACAGGAAGACGACTGACGGTGAGTCTGCTTGTAATAACAGACGCCGCGTCCACAAAACAGTTACTGCAGGAACGGCAGCGAGCGTTGATTTTGCTTTCTGTGTAGCTTCTTCAGCAGCTCAGAGGAGTTCAGCTGCGCGTCAGAAGAACTCCGCTCCTCAAGTCAGAGACGGCACCGGAGCCAGCATGGAGGACTTCCCTTGCAAAGACCAGACTGTCTGCTCTTACCAGCAGATCAGCTGCCTCGACAGCGTCATCCGGTCAGTTTCAGTTGTCCTTTTTATCACAAATAATCTTTAAATCATACGCAAGTTACTTTTCATTGCCCTAATTTAAACCTTTTTTTACTCTTAGGTATCTGGAGAGTTGTAATGTTCCCATCACAGTCAAAAGGAAGTACCAGTTCTCCTCAAACACCACCTCATCCAACTCGGATGATGACAAGAGGGGCTCAGAAGATGGCATGCAGATGCCTCAGGGTGCACACACAGGTATGAAGACTCACAGCTGTGCACGTGGCTGTCTCAGTCACTCAGGATCACCTGCTCTCTACTGTAATCTAACACTTTCCTGAAACATCTTGTAATCCATATGCTTTGATGCTAGATGCTCAGCCAGGGATGTCCAACATGAAAGCACCGAAGAAGCCTCCATCTGGGTCAGCTGCTGTGGTGGGGGGCACCCTGGCACCCCTCACGCTGCCCAGTAAGGCCGAGAGCGTCGTGTCGATCACTTCTCAGTGCAGCTACAGCAGCACCATTGTCCACGTGGGAGACAAGAAGCCTCAGCCAGAGTCAGGTACTTTACAGAGGAGCTCACCGAGGAGCAGGAAGTCCATCAGCTTGTTGTGTTTGATGTTTACCACTCTGTTTGGTGCTGCAGAGATCATCGAAGACGTTGCGGAAAGCCCGGCGCCCCCAGCCGTGCCGGTCAGTATGGTCTCTCCTCCCAGCCAGGGGAAGGAGGCCTACAAGAGGCTGGGGCTGACGAAGGAGGTGCTGGCTGCGCACACCCAAAAGGAGGAGCAGGCCTTCCTGAACCGCTGCAGAGAGCTCCGCAACGCCAGGAGCTTCCAGAAGGAGTGCTCCTCATATCCACACAACCAGAGGGGTCCAGCCCACGCTGAAGGTACCTCAGGTTTATTCCCATCAGACTCATTGTTTGTAAGTCTTTAAGAGTAATTTGCCGTCTGAGGGATATTTATTTAACTAAATGGTGCATTTAGTCGATTTGATGAGTTTTTATTAATTTTGTCCTGGTGTATACTTACATTAATATCTAGGTGTTGGTTTGTAACATGTTCCTTGCCTCTACATGTCTTCTCTCAGAGTCATCCGGACTTCAAGGGGCAGCCAAACAAGGCACCACCAGGCCTGAGACCACCGCCAAGAGGGGCAACCGCAACCGAAAGTCCAAAAAGCCACGAATGAAGCATCCAGACTCATCAGACAGCGCTGTGTCCAACCGTAAACCCAGACCCCCTCTACAGGGTCTCAACCAGACCTCGTGGTCTCCATCTGAAGCATCCCAGTCTGCTTTTAATGTCTCCTACCCCACCATGGTGCCTACTTACCCTCTCTACCCCCCAGCGACTGCTGCTCCAGCTCAGACCTCCCGCCCGGACCCGTCTCTCTCCTCTGGCTTTGGAGAAGGGCAGAACGCCCAAGCTCCGCCCACTACCACTCCATTTCCTGCACCTATTGTAACACCTGTGGTGGCTCTGGTGCTGCCCAATTACATCTTCCCTCAGATAGGACCGTTGAATCAGGTGGGTCAGCTGGGAGCTGTGCCGAGACCGACATTTTTCACCGAGCAGACCCAGACGCAGCCAGCGTACCCTGCCCAGCAGCCCTTTCAGACCGCTCAGCCAGCCTACCCGCTGCAAACCCAGCCCTCCTTCACCAGCCAGCAGCCATTCCCCGTGCAGACTGCCTTCTCTTCACAGCAGCCTTTCCAAGCTCCTCAGACCCCCTACACCACCCAGCAGCCTTTCCAGGCTCCTCAGACTGCCTACGCTACCCAGCCGCCTTTCTCTGGCCAGTCTTCATTCCCGTTGCAGACTCAGTTTGTTCCTCAGGCTCCTTACCCAGCTCAGCCGTTCCCCTACAACATAGCCCCTGAGCTCCCCAAGACCCCCGCAGCCGAGCCCAGGGAGGGAGCAGCTTCACGATCCTCCACCCCTGCCTCCGGGGCTCGAGAGCCCACCACATCACCTCCGCTCTTTGAGTCTCGCTGCAGCTCGCCCCTGCAGCTCAATCTGCTGAGCATGGAGGAGGGGCAGCGCTCAATGGACCGGCAGGACAGCACAGCGCCCCCTGCTGGAGGGCAGTGCAGCATCGCAGGGGAGAAGAGCGGAGGTGCAGCCAAGACTGATAATCATCAACAGGTGAGAGCGTCACCGAACTGATAACTCAGGAAATTAGTTTAAGTTGTAAATGTGCTTCAACACACGACGAGCAAACTTTTAACATGAATCCCTGGTTGTTTTTAGCTGGAGTCCAGAGATGACGGTGCTCACAGCGACGGGAACTCTTCATCCTGCGACCTGCTGGACATCCTGTTGCAGGAGCAGGAGGATGCCCACTCAGGCACTGGATCAGCCACGTCTGGATCCATGAGGTCAGGTCTGGGCTCCGGCTCCAATGACTGTCGGACCTCAGCCAGTGGAGCTTCTGGCAGCAGAACAGGTCAGCTGAAGAACACCCGAGTGTCTTTCCTCTTTCTGTAAACTGGAGAAGTTCTAGCTGACGTTACATTTTGTTCTCCCTCTTTTTCTCCTCTGTGTGCAGGAAGCAGCAACACCAGCAAGTACTTTGGCAGCGTAGACTCTCTGGAGCATGACCCCAAAGGGAAAGCCAAAGTCAGGGGTGGGGGGGGCTCTGATGGCAGCAACTCTCAGACCAAAGTCTCTGCTGAAGGAGAGGGGGAGCATTTCATCAAGTATGTTCTGCAGGAGCCTCTTTGGCTGCTGATGGCCAACGCTGACGACAAAGTCATGATGACATATCAGATGCCATCCAGGTGAGTCACCGACTGAAAATATATTTTTTAGGATAAATAAATTCTTCAACCTTTTTTGTTGCGATTGTTTAATTTTCATTTGTGTCCAACAGGGACATTCAGAGAGTTCTGAGAGAAGATAAGGAGCGGCTGAGGCAGATGCACAAGAGTCAGCCTCACTTCACTTCAGAACAGCGGCGGGAGCTCGTGGAGGAACATCCCTGGATGAGGAGGGGGGGCCTCCCTGCAGCTATCAATGTCAAGGTTGGTCGTGCAATAGACGGACAATAGTTGGGTCACCAGCTGTTGGACAGGTCATTAATTAATTGTCTGTTTGTGCATGTTCAGATGTGCATGTACTGTGAGGACGCAGCAGCTGCCACCATCGATGAGGACCTGCCCGACATAGACATGGGCGAGCTGGGCGAGGAGCTGGGCAGAGACGGCCAGAGAGCCCAGGGCCAGCCAGAGGAGTCGAAGCCTCAGTCAGAGCCAGGCTCCTGAACGTTACACGTGGAGGGGCGCACTGGTCCTGACGTGGACCCTCATGAGACACAAATACGTACACACACACATCTGGACAGCTCAGTGTGATGTGAGGATGTGTGTGTGTGTGTGTTGGTTGCAGAGCTGACACTAGAGTGCAGTTTTTAGTGAACCCTCACGGGGCAGGAGCACTTTGTGAGGGATCTCTGGACCTGGCCCTCATCTTACACAGACTTGAATGACTTTTCTGAAGTTATTTCCAAACCTCTCTGAGGCAGATGTTTCTTCTGAGACGTTCTCTAAAAATCTCAGTAATGTATAAAATTTGTAACGATGTTATTTTTACAACACCTTTGTCTGAAAACATTCTTATGAAGCCGACCAGCATCGCTGTTACAATCCTGTGCTGCTCCCCCTCATGTTTGTGTTTTCTGGATTCACCGCGCTGACGCGTCAGGAGCCTTCAAATCCCAGCATGCCTGCCGTTTCCCCGTCAGGGGTGGTTGTGGCGTTTCTAGGACACGGGCACAAACGCCACGACTCGCACGTCGTCGTGTCCTGAATAACTTAGTGTCTTTGCACCCGAGTGCTCCAAGAACAGGTGCAGCAGTGTTCGCACTCGACAGTCGACAATGAAATGTAAGAACGACAATCGGATACATGAAATGTATTTATTGAAGTGTTCTCCGTAGTGGGTAGTACATCTTCAGCAGATAGTAAAGCTAAAGCCAAAATAATACAGCTTTGAGATGATGTAGTAACACTTTAAATACTTTGAGGGTAAGCACTACGGGATATTTAATGTCACTTTCTGAGCAGGGTACCTCTCTCTGTGTGTAAGTGTTGTCACCCTCTCCTTAAACTAAAGCTCTGGTGATATGAAGGTGGGATTATCACAGCTTCACAACCTGCCAAAATGTGTTCGCGATGTGAAACAATCAGCATCAAGATGCATACGAACCAAGGTTTTAAGGGTAGTTCGTTCATTTTCTTTACATTTCCAAATGGCTTTGGATTTTTCTTAAAGTATCCGTGCAGAGTTCAACCTGCTGTCATGTTCTGAACTCATCTGTGGCATTTATGCACATCTGTCTGGTCCCTATTTGCTTTTTTTTTTTTTTTCCCAAAAAAAGTTTCCTGGGCAGTAAATTATAAAGTAGCACATCTTGAACATTCGCTTATTTATACCCCAGGAGGTAAGAGTTTGCAGGAGTGTGTGTGTTTGTGTGTGTGTGCAGCGATCCAAGTCCTTGAGTCCTGTCAGAACTGTTGCAGCGTGTGACCCTGAGGTCAGCGGCGACACAAGTCTGCAGTATGTTCAACAGAACTAACCAAGTGTAGCAAACGGAGCTTCACACGGCAGCTGGGCGAGGTGGAAGCTTCAGGAGGGTTCGAGTGAAGGTCGAGGGAACCGTGGTCCACACTGGCCTGAGCAGGACAGGGAACAACGGTGGTGCTGACGCAGAACAGCTGGAGCCTGTGAATGTAACACAGACTGGACCAACAGCGCCGCGCTCACTACGTTCACGTTTAGCTTTTGTTTTAATCTCGTTACTTTTTCAGGACTTTTTTAATTCTATTTTTCTATTTTCCTCGTATGTGTGTGTGGCTCATTAGAAGGTTAGCGCTTGTGAGTGTCACCGGGGGCGAACCCTACCTCTAATCAGTCCCAGGTGGTTTGACTGTAAACAGATCATAGGACGTGCACGCGTGTGAGCGTTTGGATATTTTATTTGATTCCGGTGAGAGATGGACCTGTAAACGTGTTTGGACTTCTTCTACCTGCTTTCTGCCTCTGACTGAATGAACGAATGCACGGGGACTTTAACGACACTTTGTCTTTTATTTATTTATGTGCAAATTGTATCAACGTGCAACTGAACCCTAAAGAATGGAGGTTTACTTTTATTGTCCCGAGCGGGCAGTCCCAGTCGTGATGTTTACGATCACGTAAGCTCGTCCACCATCACATGTTCAACCAGCACGATCGTGTGCATTTTTGTAGCTCAAGAGACGTGTTTGAGACTTGGAAACCATGTTGTAATAAAACTGCAGTCATAACCAGTCTGACTTATTGTCTCTTTATTTTAGTTAGGGTGTTTTGGGTCATCTTGTTTTACAATTCTTGTTTTCAACGTTTACCTTGCGTCTTGTTCTGTGTTTTTTAATAGACCACTTAAAAACATTTTTTTTCCCATCCACGTTTTGACATTGTTGCCTTTTTTATTTTATTTATTTATTTATTTATTTATGACAATTCATGCATTCATTCAACCTTTATTTAGACAGGTAAATCCCATTGACAATGAAAGTGTTAACAAAAATGCTAAAAACAATATCAACATTATAAAACAAAATGAACAAGACAATAATGCCAGGGGGTTATAAAGCGAACACAAATAGAACGAAGTGTATATACATACATGCATGCACACATTTAAAATAAAATAAAATTAAGGCACAAAAATGTTGAAAAGGATACACATATCAGTTGTTTTAATGGCTTTACTATTATTTGAATACTGAAGTGTTCTAACATGTTGTTTGATTTCTTCTTTAAAGACCAAGAAACAAGGTTTCTGATTTGAGAACTTAGATTTATGTATATGATATTTAGCAACTAATAAAATTAGGTTGATAATATAATAATGGTTTGTTTTATTAGTGGGATAAGAGAAGAATCCAAACAAAACATCTACACAAGTAAGGGAAAATTCTAAAAGAATATTTTGGGAAATAAAAGTGCAAATACCTTGTCAGAAAGTACATAAGAAAAGACATGAGCAGAATAAATGACGGAGATCTTCTTCACAGAGTTGGCAGAATGAGCAGTTCATGTTAATGTCCTTTTTGTATCGCTGAAGGAAAGACTTGCAGGGATAAAAACGATGGATAATCTTAAAGGATACTTCTTTGATCTTATTGATAACCAAATATTTCAATGGAAGACACCAGATTTTTTTCCAGTTCCGGTCTGATGCAAGGTTATTCCAATAAGAGACAACATTTGGAACAGAGACCATGTCCTTCTGGAATCAGACACGTATATCACCGTTGTTTTTTGTCTTTTTAGAGGAAAAACAGATTTGACCAATACTAGAGTCAGCAGGGTTCAAACTTGGTGGAGTCACTAAAGAAGTTATAGAAGATTTAAGAAGCATTATAACACCAGAAGGGATAGCATCGAAAACAAACACATATTCCTTTGGTGGTATGGGAATGCCAAATTTGTTTAGAAGTTCAGAATAAGACATTAGAACACTATTAGGATTAAATAGCTGCTGAACTAAGATGATTCCATGTACACACCAATTTTCCAAGAATAAAGACTTGCGTTTGTATAAAATGTTTACATTGTTCCAAATATAATATCGATGGGGTGAGAAATTGTGCTTATAAATTAAAGACCAGGAAAGAAGCATTTGTTTATGGAAATTAGATGGTTTTATGGGGAGTTTTTCAATGTTGTAGTTGCAAAAAGAACAAAGTTAAGAACACCAAGTTTTGAGAATGAATAATTAGGTATAAAATTCCAGATTGAGGAGGGATTTTTAAGAAACTGTTTGATCCAATTTATTTTGAACATATTGTTTAAAGTTGGGGCAGCACGGTGGCACCACTGGTAGAGCTGCTGCCTCTCAGCGAGCAGGTCCTTGGTTCAAACCCCGGTCCAGGGGCCTTTCTGGGTGGAGTTTGCATGTTCTCTTCATGCATGCGTGGGTTTTCTCCGGGTGCTCTGGTTTCCTCCCACAGACCAAAAACATGCATGTTAGGCTGATTGGTAACTCTAAATTGTCCCTAGGTGAGAGTGAGCGAGTGAATGGTTGTTTGTCTCATTTGTCTCTATGTGTCCCTGTGATGGACTGGAGACCTGTCCAGGGTGTACCCCGCCCCTCGCACAGTGATTGCTGGACATGGACACCGGCGACCCCTGTGACCCAAAATGGAATAAGCGGGTAAAGATAATGGATGGATGGATGTTCGTATGAGTTCATCAATACTGATTTTCTGATATAATGAATCCTATTTTTCCATATAGCATTTTCTCAGTTTTATTAGATATATCAGTTTTCTGTTTGTTTAAAGAAAGAGACAAAGCTGGACAAGTTAAACGGGTGATGCCTTCTGCTTGAGTTAATAATATTCTTCCTCTAATTGACCCCACCTTTTCTGCTCCACCAGCCGCCCAGAAATACAGTATACAGATTATATTATGTACTGGCAGGGTGAGGCCAGTTTCTAGAGGGTATTTTATGTTGGATTAAAATCTGACAGTAGATTTTTTTGGCGGCCATCATACAAATTATTTTCCATCATGTTTTGCTGAAAAATCGACCCATTCCATAACAGAACCTTCATAATTTTTACAGATGGTGTAAACACAACCTGGCCTCAGGATCCCTCTAGTGGTACTCAAACGAAATGTTATCACCTCTGAGTGGTGTAATCACACGAGTCAGTCCAGTTACAATCTTGACTCCAAATGGAAATGACAGGAACCTTTGTGGAAACTAGTGGTCAAAGGTTTACTGATGTGCTGGAGACTGTTTCTGCAGCACATGGGAAGTCTCTGCAGGAGCTGCTTGCAAGAAAAGATGCAAAAGTTAATTTCTCTAAATTGCATTATCTCTTGCAGAGCAGCTGAAGAGCTGAGACCGCATGCATGGAAGCAGCACACCTTAAACTTTACTCTCCAGCCAGGGACAGGTGTGGTTTTTTTATCTCAATGAATCTAGTAGGTCAGTCAAGATCTAATTTTCTATGTTCAGCCCAGGAATGAAAACAAGAAAATTACAAGTATTAGGAATATTTAGAGATGATTTTAGATTGCGGACCTCAGGTTTATTGGCTGTTCTGACAGCCTCACCCTCCAAAGAAAACCCAGCTCCACGTCTGTTTTTATCCAGCTGAGATTGTTGGAAAGTTCAGGTTAGGATAAAGAAAGGTTTTTTTTTTAAGTTAGGTGTTAGTCGGTCAGTTTGCTTGTTGATATCAGACGTGAACATGAGCTGTACCACTATTTTAAATTGTCATAACGGTGATACTCAGTGGAGTAGTTTCTCAGGTTGTATTTATTATGCTGTCCACCATGGCGCGCTAAGATTCATAACTGGTTGTAACTAATGTACCCATCACTGCACTCTGTACTCCTTGGTCAGTTGGTCATCATCATCTACACGTAGTCTCTCTCACTGGTTCATCTTCATCTATAAATCCCTCCTTGGTCTGTTATCTTCTTATAGCTCCTCCCACATGTCATCAGTGCAGTTACAACATGCGCTCTCAGGACATCATTACCTGCAGTGTTCCCTCAGTGCAGACTGAACTTGTCAAAAAGGCCTTTTCCTACTCTGCTCCTGCACCTGGAACACCTTGCAACAGGAACTGAAGTCGTCCAACTTGATTTATTTAAGGAGTTTCAAACATTTGATAATGTCAATAGAAAAATTAAGGCAGATATGTTCATGTTTTTAGTATTTCACCGTTTTACAGCACCCCGATTTATTGTTTTATACACTACTCTTATTTTGACTGAAGTTTTACTGTAGTTTATTGTTGTCATAGTTTACTGTTATTGTTGTCTGTACTTTATGGATCAGGTCTCTCTTGTAAATGAGTCCTCGTGGCTCAGTGAGGCTAAACTGTATAAATAAAGGTTGAATGAAAAAAATTATAAAACTTTTGAGAATCAAAGGTATAAATAGCTGAATGGAAAGGAACAAATCTGGATCTAAACTCCATAAAATTTGTTGCTGCACAATTTTGAGCATATTATCAATAATGCATAACCCCAGCCTTTCCTCCATTTTGTTTTTACACCAGCTTTCCACTCAGAGCAGAACTGAAGGCCAGAGTTTAACTTCTGGTTTTGCTGAATTTCAAACGAAACATTCAGACTCTGCTCATCTGCTGCAGACCGTTTGAGGATATTAAATATTTGTCAATCATATCGCAATGTAATAAAAAAATTATCCTGATGCATGCTCAATAATCCAGGTAGAAAAATAAAAAAAAAGTCTGGTCCTCTCAACAAAAATGATTCTTCCTCTTTTTTGTACATATAGAAGCGCCCCTAACTATAAATCCAAAGATCACAATAAATGTAGACCCTGATGTGGAAAAAATATTCTCATATGGAGCTGAAGTACTGTTGTATGAAACTGAGATAAACACACAAAGAAACAAGTTAGACAAAAAGTGTAGAAGGACTGAAAGTACACAACATCAGTCACACTTGATTTAGTAGGAATAAAACGTCATCGTACCATGTACAATGAAACTGTTGGAATTTCTTCATGTTAACATATAAGAATAAAGTAAAAAGTAGAGTTAAAAAAAGAAAGACATGAAAATAGAAAAACCAGATACGGAATAAAGTGAAATAGCAGCTGGAGTTATCCACATATGGAAGTGTGACAACAACCTTGCTCCATCTTATACTTTGTATTACAGATCATATTTTTCCATATTTTTCCTACTTAGCTCTCAGACTGCGGGTTTACTTGCGGTGCCTAGAGTTTCCTAAAGTAGAATAGGAGGCAAAGCTTTCATTTATCAATTATCTTGTGGAACCAACTTCCAGTTTCTGTCCGTGAGACACCTTGTCTTCTTTTAAGACTAGAAGTCTTTCCTTGTTGACAAATCCTATCGTTAGGGTCATCTTTGGTTTCTTGACTGAACTATCCCTTAGTTATGCTGCTAAAGGTTTAGACTACTGGAGGAAAAACTGACCACATTCCCTCACTCTGCTGCTGTTTTTACTTGCTCTACCTGTTTGTATTTGTAATTATTTCTATCTTAACATGTTTTTGTCTTTAGAAAGTACACCTGGACGTGTCATTCTGTGCTCGTCTGTCTCTCCTTCCTGTTCCTCTCAAATCCAGGTGGTTGAAGCAGATGGCCGCTCCTCCTGAGCCTGGTTCTGCTGGAGGTTTCTTCCTGTTAAAAGGCACTTTTTCCTTTCCACTGTCCCCTCTGTGCTTGCTCAGGATGGGAGACTGTGACGAAGTGAAGATTCAGCACAATCTGCTGCTTCCTTAGATGTATAAATTTTACAAATTGGC